GATTTGTGGATTTGATTTCTAGGTTTGAATGAGTTTTGATCCATAGGTTTGTGTTTTTTTATTTCTGGTGGTAGAGATTGTGGAAGTTTTATCTAGCGGTTCAAAGAGGGGGAGTTTGAGTTAAAAACATTTTAGTATGTTGGTGGGTTAGTTGTAGGGTTGTTTTCTTTATGGATAAACTTGTTGGGCAGAGGTGTTTGGCTGGGATTAACCGCTAGTATTTTCATGGGATAGTCATAAGGGGAATGATATTGGTGGAATGATAGATAAGAGATGTAGGAAGGAGGAAATTTATATACGTTGAATCCCTCAATACAGGAAGGAGGAACCAGTTGGGTGGAGCTCTCGTGGAGGTCCGTAGATCTGTATCAAGCCTTAAAAAAGTGTAAATCGTAAAAGATATGTTATACACATTTGTTGCTAGTCGATTTCAAAAGGAACCAGTTTCCCAAACTTGCGATTAAAGCCTTCAAAAAAGGGTTGATTTATATATCTGTATATTTGAAGATCAATGCTTCAAACCTAATGAACTGATAAAGGTGAAAATTGAGCGAGAGTGGTGAAGATGATTTTTTTTTTTTGAACATAAGCCCCATTTGGATTGTAGATTTGATTCAATATGAAGATTTGTCTGGGGAACATTGATTGATGCTCTGTGTGTGTGTGAGAGAGAGAGAGAGAGAGAGATGTTCTCTTATTTTTTAATTATTAAAATAGATAAAAGAATATTATTTCTTTTTAAATTAAAAAAATAAAAATAAATAGATCAAAGGTATTTTAGTCTTTTCTTTTTTCCGAGAGACCAAAACTACAAGCAAACTAGTTCAAAAAGACCACCAATCCAAAAACGTTCGGGTTTGACCAAAACTGAAAAAAAAAAATGTTTACCACATGGACCATTTTTGCAGTAAGTTTCATATTTTGGCCTTAAAATTTTTGTAGTAGGTTTGATTTCTATATAGAAACTAAATTATAAAAAATGTCAATATAATTTACAGAAAAATCAATATGTAGATTTTTTTCTTATATAAAAGAGCGATCCATGTTTATGAGATTTTCATATGTTGTAAGATTTGTTTCCTGCCCTAAAAAATAAATTACAAAAACCCTCCATTTGTATATTTTTTTTATAGTAACGGTCAACATATTTAAAAAAAAGTTACAAATATAAACCCTGCCTAATCAAATATTTATAGATTAGGACCCCACAAAACAAGGGAACTGTCACCCTAGTTTAAACCAATTAAGAATTTAGGGTATATCATGTATGGTGTAATTCAAAGCATAAATATACAGATTCACCTTGTATCCGAAAGTGACATTTGACCATTAAACAACTAAATAACTGGAATTGAAGTTTTTTTTCGAAATAATAAAATGGTGTCTAAATTTTTAATAGTTTTTTTTCGAACGATAAATATTTTAATAAAGAGTAAATTACACGAATGGTCTCTATGGTTTGTGGTAATTTGCACGTTTGGTCCCTAATTTACTTTTTTAACTCGGAAGGTCCCTACTGTTTGTTTTTGTTACGCGTTTGGTCCCTTCTATTTATATTTGTTACGCGCTTGGTCCCTATCTTACCTAAAAAGACTATTATTTGAATATGGAAAAATGATGAGATAGGTAGGGTAAGGTGAGGAGAGTAGGGTTGAGAGTGTGTTTATTTAAATAAATTAAAAAAATCAGGGTTAAAATAGTCTTTTTAGGTAAGACAGAGACCAACCGTGTAACAAAAACAAACAATAGAGACCTTCCGAGTTAAAAAAATAAATTAGGGACCAAACGTATAAATTACCCTAAACCATAGGGACCATTCGTGTAATTTACTCTTTAATAAATAAACATCAGTAGGAAACTAGAAAGAAATAGTACAACGCACAAGAAAAATAAAATATATAGAGGAATAACGGCATACGATTAAAAAAAACAAATTAATAAGGGCAAAATGATAAAAGTATAGAAACCCACCAAAACAGCAACCTTGAAAAAATTAAAACTAATCTAAACAAAGAAAATGACGACTCTTTGTCATTAAATAAGGTCATTTGATTGTTGTTTGAACAATGGTGGCTCTGAAAGAAAGTTTTATCAAATATGGGCTGCTACTTCTTTCTTTCAAAAATCAAATTTAATGTGTGTACATCGTTAACATCATACAAAGGTAGAGCCTTTATCATATTATTAATAACAAGTCAATCGAATCAAAGTTTATCAAGTTTGTGTAAATTATGATCTCCAAATATCTAACAAGTCGTTGATTTTGTAAGAACTTCATATTAAAACTTTAAATTCTTCAAAAGTTCTTTATTCTTATCTTTGTTTACAAAGTACAATACCTTCAGGGTCGGACCAACATGATTGGAGGCCCATAGCAAAATAAAAAATGGGGCCTTTTCAAAAAATTTATGTATTTGTATATTACACTATTTTATAAATTATACATACATAACAATTCATTTAAATTTGTACACCATAGAATGGGGAAAACTAAAAATACAATGCTATTAGAAGTACAAAAATACTAAAGTCTCATCCCCTTTGTTTCTTCATTAACTTGTTCAGTTCTTTTCCTGTACATAAGTTGTTGACCTCCAACTGAAGTAGATTTATCATCGACAAAAAGTTGTTAGGTGAATTGCTTAAATCCAGAATACTTCTTGTTGTTAATAACATGGAAGTAGTTGAAAAAACTATACAACAACAAAAAATTCTATACATATAAAAACATAGAAATAAAAATAAAAAAGAGTACCATTCATAAATCAAAAATAAGAATATTAACATTACAAATCGAAATTAAGCAATAAAGTTCAAGAACTATCTCTAACTCATAAATATTAACATTTGATTATGTCTCTAACTTGAACAACCTCATAAAAATCGAATTTCAAAAAAGAATAAGAAATTTCAAAAGCGATAGAAGATATAAAGATTCACAGTCATATTATCAGAAATCAATTTCACCTCTAATAGTCGATTCTAAAAATTGAGCCTTCAAATTTTTAGAAATTGAGAAAGAAATCCTATTGAGGCAGTAACTGGAACTCTCAATTCAAACCTCTAGGCCAGATTCCTAAAATAAATCAAATAACCTTATTAACTTCCCATTGGTGCTATATCAGAAAAAGAAAATCGACAACAAGAAGGGAAACAATAGAGTTTCCCGTTTTCTGAAATCGTGAGAAGAACGAGACACAATCAATCTCTCAATTCTAAAATAACATTCGATTCACTAATGGTTGTTGTGGACGAATTCAAAAAATCAGAAAAGGATGAAAGAAATCGATTACCTTGAAATCTTGAATAAGAAATAGAAGAATGATCGTTAACTCTTGCTTTTGGAAAAGATGTCGTTTGGATTTTCCATGGCAATGTTTAGATTTTCTATAGAAATCTGACTGTTGAAGAGTTACGACACCTTGGAATTAGGACGCATGACAAGTAAGTCTCGTTCTCTCCCACGCTCCATCTTTTGGATTAGTTCCTGATCAGAGTATTTGGGTTTGAAGTAGTCCAATTGGCTAAAAAGTAATGTGCTGTTAATATATAACCAAAATAACAAGTTAAAAATTGGGGCCCTGTAGTATTTGGGGGCCCGGGACGGTCGCCCAGCTTGCCCATGCCCACAGACTGACCCTGAATACCTTATTACATATTATGTTTCTCAACACATGGCTAGATTGGTTGTTTATAACACTATTCGCCATGGTGATTGAAAAAAAATAATAATAAATAAAATAAAAATAAAAAAATAACATAAATTTACATTTTAATAATACTAAAAATTGAAACTGTGACATTCTATTTATGATTATAATGATGTCCGACTTTTTTTAATATACAAAAAAGGGTGAATGTTACCTTTTAAGCATCCTACCGACTAGTTTCACAACCAACGTTAAATTTGTTTGTTCATACATACTGATGCTATAACGATGTATGATGAATATCATAAACGTTTTTCATCTATAAAATGGTATGTTACATGGTTCAGGTTATTTGAAATGTTATACTAAACATTACATTAATTTAGTATAAAAAAGACGTAATTTTACAATATGATTACAGAAAATTATGATGAACTACAAATGTATATACTAAAATTTGACAAACTCCGGAGTATATACTAAATTATGATTGATAAAGGGTTATTGCTTCTAGTTTAGACTTTTAGTTCTTGTAAAATGCACAACGGACTCATTTTAAGAAACAAGTATTGAGCTATTGGCCATTAGACCCATTACAGAATTTCTTTTTATTTTAAGCATTTTTTTAAACGGCTATTTTAGGTATATATTGATTTACAAATATTGGGTCAAGCGCATATAATATAAGACTAAACTGCACAAATAGTCTCTGTAGTTTGCTGAAATTTGTCACTTTGGTCTAAAAAAGTTTGGTCTAAAGTTTTTATTTTGTTGTGAGTTTAGTCCAAAGAATCAACCTGCGTCTACTTCCCCCCGTTAAGATATGTTTGACTTGTCAAATTGGTGGTATTTTGGTCATTCTTTATTTATTCCACTTATTTAATATTAATAAAAGAGAATATGTATGTAATTAGGGCCATATAGATAATATCGAGCCTTAATCGTATTTATACTCCTTAATAACTGTGATTCGATTCAATTTCCCTCGTCATTGACTGAGGATCAAGAACCCTAATCTGATTACCAAGGTTGTTAGCTTCAATCAGGTGACTTTCGTAGTGAATGCATATACCAATGTGACACTTAAGGTTGTCAAGCACATCATTCAACCCAAGGGTGGTTTATGGTATGTAATTTTGTTTGTTGCTCATTTACTTGATTTTTTTTGGTGAAATCATCACTTATATATTTTGTTTTTTGCTCTTGTCTTGAAGATGGACATCCTAAACTATTTACCATCAAGCTACATCATGGAGGCGAGTTCACAAATTTTCTAGATGTCAACTACATTGATGGTACTGTGACGTATGTTGATATGGTGGATATAGAAGAGTTTTTTTTGTTCATGAGATGGATGTGATTATGAAAGGGTTAGGATACTCAGTTCCTCCATTTATCTACTATCATTTTCGAGTGCCTAAGGGAGACATGCATTTTGGATTACGGGCCCTAGGAAATGATGATGGTGATGTCCTCAATCTTGCCCAATATGTAAAGGAGCATAAACTGATAAGGGTTTACACTGAACATGGTATGACTAACTTGCTTACTTACTTTATGTCTCCTAAATCTGTAAAAAAAATTATTATTAAGCAATTAGATGAAATTGAGGAACATGAACCCACCCCAAACTGATAACCAACCGAGTTGTATGCCACAAACATGCATATCCCCTGTTATAGATAATGAAGCTGATTTAGCCTTGTCAATATCCCCCGAGTATAGTACAAAAAGGGATTTATCAAGGACAAAGCATTGTCATCATTTATTAAGAAATTGGCCATGGAAGATATTTGTATTGTTAGGATTGGTGTAAATAAGGATAATTCACCTAATGAATTTGACCATGGATTTAATGAATTTGATAAGGAAGCTAATGAATTTGATCTTGGGTTGTACCAACATATTTTTCAGTCTAATCCTATAGTTAATATGGAAGTCATTGAACAAAATGTAGACTATAAGGTCCATGAAGGTTTGGACGGTGCATTAAATATGGAAGTCACTGAAGAATTCAATGAAATGAATGAATTCAATGAAGAGAATGTAGGTGATGAGGTCCATGAAGGTGAGGAAAATGTAGACATGAGGGATTATGAAGTTGATGATGGAATTGAAGATGAAGGTAAGGTTGAGATTGAATAAGAGAGTGATGAAAGAAGTGAGGACAAGGAGGACAGTAACGACAGTGAAACATAATCTCTGAGTAGAAGTAGATATGAGGGATTTTTACATGAATATCGATCTTGAAGCAAAATTTATTGAAAAATAAGTAACAAAGCATAGAGATAATAAGAGTGAGGAGGAACTTGAAGAATTAGATGTTATACATAATGATCAATGGGCTCCAATGGATGAGGGTTCTGATATAAAAAGGAAAAGGAGAGTTGTATTAAAAGAATTGGGGAAGGAGACAAGGTGCTCTCAAGTAGAGATACACAACGTAAATTTTCGGATAAGGAGTTAAAGGAAAAGATACAACTGCATGCATTGGAAACTAGAAGGAATATATTCTTCAGAAAAACAACAAAATGAGGTTAAGGGCTCTCCATAAAGGAGCTGTAGCTTTTAATGATGGTCAAGTGGCTGAACCTACCCCCTGTCATTGGATGATACACAGTTTCAGGTGAACGGTAGACTAAGTTGCACGGAAACGGATACGGCAACGGGAAACGGATACGGAACGGAAACGGGAAACGGCAAAACTCAAAAATTCAAGATACGGATACGGCACAGATACGGCAATATAAAAAATATGAAAAAAACATATCTATATTAAAGAAATTCCAAAATATGTAAAGTTTAAATTCCCAAAATACTAAATATTTCAAAAGTAACTAATTATCAATAATTAATTCATTTTCAAAATCGGGTTCATCTAGTGAGAGATCTGCAAACTCCAAAAATCCGACGTCTTCCATTGAATCAAAAGCATCTCCGCCCACATCCCACATCTTTACATCATCTTTCGGAGTCCTTGACAAAAGTCGGAGATTATTGTGGATATAAACCAAGTCTTGAGCACGACTTGTAGTCAGCTTGTTCCTTTTAAGCGAGTGGATAAATGCATAAGTACTCCAATTACGCTCAGCACAAGAAGAAGAACTAGGTTGTCCAAGTAATCTAAAAGCCAAAGTCTGGAGAAAAGGAGTTTGAGCACCAAAGTTAACCCACCAATTCTTGGGTTCCATAGTAGCCATCTTTGAAATGCTTGTTAAATCTTCAAAAGGACCACTCTTCATTGAAAACATCGCATACTCATCAAGGACTCTGCCATACTCATCATCATTAGGAAACAACCTTCGAAAGCATTTCATCCTTTCTTGTGAAATTTCTCCATCCCTATGTGGAGCACATCTTGTAGAATCTTCCATTAACCATGCATCACTATAATATCTACAACCTCCAAAAGTTAAAAGATAAATATATAATACAAATCAAGTTTATAATTTAAAATCTTATACCTTGGATGTAAAGAGTGAGCTAAACAGTGTAAGGGGGTGTTATTCTTCGCCCATCGAGCCACTAAAATACGATGCACAATGTCGTAAAAACAACTTATTTGAGATGCAGGACGTTTTTCTTTCTTGTAGATCTCAATCTTCACTTTCTCAATCATAGAATCCCACATCTCATAGACCAAGTGTAAACATGGCTTGTCAGTGTCACAAGCTCTAATCATCTCATATATAGGTCCAGTGAAACTAAGAATATATGTTACTTTATCCCACCAATCATCATTCAAAATATATTCTTTCACAGAGTTTGCCTTCTCAGTGTCATCTAATCTATAAGAAGACCATTCTTCGCTTATGACCATAGCTTGAAGACCCCTTTTGATAAGTTTCAATCTCTTAAGCATCACAATGATGGAGGCAAAGCGAGTGTCAGCAACAGAAAGCAACCTAAGAGGAGTAAACTTGGTGAAAATCGAGAGCCTCATGTTATGGTTCATGATGAAATTTTTTATTGCAAACGCCTCTTCATGAACTTCTTTTATCCAGCGGCACTGTTCATATGTTAGTTCATTTGTTTCCACATTCCTTGGTGAACAAATGTTCTTCAAAGCAAGATTAAGTGTATGAACAACACATGGTGTCCAATAGATATGAGGAAACTGACTTTCTATAATCTCTCCAGCCGCCTTACAATTTGCTGCATTGTCGGTAATGATTTGCACAACATTTTCATGACCAATTTCATTAATGACTTCCTTCATCAATTCAGCAATAAAAAATCTATCTTTCACTTCCCCAAAACAATTCACTGCCTTTAGAAACAAAGGACCATTGCCTGAGGTAGCCATGAAGTTGATTAGAGGTGTTCTTGTAGGATCACTCCAACCATCACTCACAATAGTCACACCCTTTTCTTTCCATGTTAACCTAAGTGGCTCCAATAGCTTGTGAACATTATCTTTTTCTTTTTGTAGTAATGTTGTTCTTAGCTTATTATAACCAGGAGGTACATAACCATCAATTTTGTTGTTAGCAGCAAACTGAAAAGCCCTTACATAGTGTGGATTTCTTGCAAGATTAAAAGGTAAACCTCCGGTATAAAACATTCTAGCTATTTCTTGATCCAGTTGGTCCCTAATTTCAACACCAAAAGCTCTTTCAATAGGTGTTGAAATACCTTTTCTTTTCTTAAATCCAACACCAGCTTCACATGGCAACTGAACTTCTTTTGCTTGTGACTCGGTTTTCTTCTTTTCATACTCATCTTCTAATCGTGTCATGTTAAGTTTGTCAGTTGTTGTTGCTTTCTTGCAAATAGAAATCCTGGTACCTATATTAAACAACATAAAAACATTGACATTCTCAATTACACAACACGAAAAAAATAAGGTCATCAACTCATCATTAACATTATAAATTCAATTACATTACATTAATCAAAAGTTCAAAACAAGAAAGTGAATCAAAAACCTCTTATTTCTTTACCATTGTTCATGAATAAATAATTAAATAGTTATATTGAATAACATGAATCAAAAGTGCAACAAATACATGAATCAAAACAAAAATCACAGCCTCTTATTTCATTACAATCGTTAATGAATCAATAGTTCAATATGTCAATACAATAACACGAATCAAAAATTGCAAAAAATACATGAATCAAAACAAAAATCGCAGCCTCTAATTTTATTTATTTACAATTTTTCATGAATCAATACAACACGTCAATAACATAAATAAAAAATTGAAAATTACATAGACACTCACACACTAATTTGAATAATAGATTACCTTTTATGCCAAGCAAATGTGCTCTAACTCTAGAATATGATCCTTGTCGGGTTTCACTGCAAAGATTACACTTGAACTTCCAACATCCTCCTGATCCAGGAAGTTTATCGAGCTTAGTCACAAAGTCCCACAATGGAGGTTGATCAACTGATGTAGATGATCCTTGTGTTTCTTGTTCTTGAGAAGAAGCCATACAATTCAACGATTCACTGCCTTTTAAATTTATTTTTTCCTGTTCTTGTCTTATTGATCGACGACAAAAGAGATAGTAAACTAGACAACTAGTAAAGTAAACTAAAAAAACCGATAAGCAAAGAAACTTAGAAACTGGAAAGTGGAAAAGTTGGAATTTTGGAATACCCAGCAGGCCAGCAGCAATCGGTGAAGCACAGGCAGCACTACAGCAGTTTGCAATAAGCTTTGCAAAAGTTAATTTTATTAATCGGCTAATTGTAGTGAAGGGACGTAGGGTAATTGTAGGTAATACACTAATACGTAGGGTAATTGCAATAAGCGGTCCGCCGGTAGTTCGAGCCCATTACTTCACCACGTAATAATTAATAAAAGCCCATGCAAAAAAAAAAAAAAAACAAAGGAAACGCTGATACTTGCGAGAAACGTTCACGATACTTGCGAGAAACGTTTCGTGTGTAGTCGATACTTGCCGGAAACGTTTCCCGTCCGTTTCTCAGGCGTATCCGTTTCTTGCACGTTTCAGATACGGGAGCGGCATCTTCTAAGGCGTTTCCGTGCATCATAGACGGTAGATAATACTTGGTTCATTAGAAATTGCAACCATAAACACAGATGCCTGCAGAAAAGAAAAGTTAGATCTGTAACTACAAAGTTCATTTCTAAATAGCTAATGGATCAAACTGATCCAACCCAACAATCCTAGTCATAGCTCTTCAAGAGCAACTGCAAAAGGAGTATCAAGTTGGATTCTTTATTTACAAGGTATTCATGGCCAAATCTACTATGAAAAAAACATATACAGGGGGATTACAAAAAGCAGTATCATGCTCTCAAAGATTATATCTTGGAGTTACGGTCTACCAATCCAGATACAATTGTGAAGTTATTGTTTGATTTTAAACCCAACCCAAGTGCTACCTCAAGAAGGTTTAAAAGGATGTATGTGTGTCTGGGTGGAATGAAGAAAGGGTTTAGAGCTTTCCTGATGGATTTTCTAGGTTTCGGTGGGGCATTTAAGAAGGGCTCTTTCACACGACAAACATTAACTATAGTTGTGGTAGGCTCCAACAATCTAATATACCCCCTAGCTTATGCCATTGTTGAGACTGAGAACACTAACAGTTGGAAATGGTTTCTTTAGTGTATACGAGATGATCTGCACGACTGCACCTACATGCAAACTTAAACTTCACATTTATAAGTGGCAAACAAAAGGTATGTAATTAGTTTTTTAAATTTTCCATATTTAGATCTAATATACTAACAATGTTTTATTTCCTTCACAAGGATTACAGTCTGCCATTTCTCAGTTGTTCCCATGTGTTGAGCAAAAGTTTTGACTCAGGCGTATACATGAGAAGATTAGGAAAACATGGAGAACTAAGGAGTACAAAGACCACTTATGGAAGTGTGCAACAACAATAACAATCCCAAAGTTCAACCATATGATAAGAAAATTTAGCTTGTATGATATAGAAGCATACAATTTCTTGAAGCAGATTCCCCCACAACACTGGGCAAGAAGCCACTTCGCAGGTAATTAATTGAAGTTTTGAATTTAGTCATTTGTTGTATTTTTTCTTAGTATGTGCTTGATTATGACAACATTGTGGTTTTTTCAGGTAGAGAAGTATCAGATATGCTTTAGAATAATCTTTGTGGAGTTTTTAATAGCAAGTTGATTGAGGGAAAGGACAAGCCACTGATAAGCTGCTTGGAGTACATCAGGCCCTGTATATGATGAAAAGAATATGTAATATCATAAAGGTGGAAAAAAAGTGTGCTGGTCCACGAACCCCACCTGCAACAAAGATCATGGAAACGAATGTTACTTGGGCATCTCAGTACATAGCTAAGTGGAACGGGTAAGAAAAATATCAAGTGCAAAGGCCATGGCAGGATCAACATGTTGTTTACATGGTTGAAAGAGTATATAGCTACAAGAAGTGGGAATTATCATGATTCCCTTGTAAACAAGTCATTATACTCCTAAATGACAAAGCAGATAATGGTGAGGAGTTTGGAGAGTTGCACACTTATGCCCACAGGGTGCACTGACTAAAAACTTGGAAAGCAGCTTATGTGTACAAGGTAGAGCATATTAAAGGTCAAGATATGTGGCCTATAAGTGAATTTCCAACTAAAATCACCCCTTCTGTACACCATAATCAGCATGGAAGGCCCAAGAAAAAGAGGAGGCAATTTGTTGAGGTGAAAAGTTAGAAGAAGGGAGACAATGGTGCTAGTGGGAGTGTGAGTCAAAGTCATGTTGTTAGTGGGAGTGGAATGCTTACAAGAAAGGTTATCAAAGTAACTTGCAGCAAGTGTAAAAATAAAGGGCACAATGCTACAACTTGCAGTGTACAAGGAGGTAACTGATGGGATTTGAAGGTATTTGGATGTATGTAGGACTATAAGTGTCTTTTGGGGATAATGTTATGTTTATGTGTATTGTATGTTTAGTACTTGATGTCATTTAGGGTTTAAGTTATTTGATGTTCTTTTTTGGTACTTGATAGTGTGTATTGAGATGTATGGGAACAATTTAGACTGGATTTGATGCAATGGCTTATGTTATGTTTAATTTGATGTTAATCTAATGAACAATTTTATGTTAGTAGAACTTGACCAGTGTGCCCTTTTAAAGAAAACATACAATTATCATTGATAATGTTTAAATCATAAATAAAATAGAAATGGTCAAAATAAAGACACCAAATATAATTACCATTGACAATTTGTTACAAAACATGTCTTACATTGCTTACATCTTAACCACAAAAGACTACCACAAAATACTACCCCAAATATTACACTGTTTAAACAATATACTACCCAACACATTAAAATTTTATGTTAGTAGAACTTGACCAGTGTGCCCTTTTAAACAAAACATACAATTATCATTGACAATGTTTAAATCATAAATAAAATAGAAAGGGTCAAAATAAAGGCACCAAATATAATTACCATTGACAATTTGTTCCAAAACATGTCTTACATTGCTTACATATTAACCACAAAAGACTACCACAAAATACTACCCAAAATATTACATTGCTTGAACAAAATACTACCCAACACATTAAATACTACCCAAACCATTACACTTCAATCTACTTCTTGGAAACCAGAATAAGTACAAACAACATCCAACTGCATAACAAGTAACATTTGAGTCTTGTGTTTTGTGACTTCAATTTGTTTATTGTCCTCAGCAGGCCACGTATAATAACTTTTGAACGTTTACACATTGGACCATTAAACCGCCTAATAAATTGACATTTTGATCCCATCAAAATTGAAGAGACAAACACAAACCGTAACATGTAATGGGAGAGTACTGTTGAAATCCAAAAAACTTTTGCTTACCTCAGCATGGCATCCCCATAAGCGTCGACCTGAATTTTTTTTTTCAAGTCCATGAAGTGCAAACTATAGCCATTTTACCACAAAAACAAAATGCCATTTTTTATTTCGATTTCTAAAGAAGAAAAAGATGCTTGATTTAGGTCAACTGAAGAAGAAGAAGAAGATCAAGATGAGAACGAAAACATAGAAGGTTGAGTAGCTTTGATTTCTTAGTACTCATTTATTAATATCAAATAAGGGGAATAAATAAGGAATGACCAAAATACCCCCAATTTGACAAGGCAAACATATCTTAACGGGGGAAATAGACCGAGGTTAACCCTTTGGACCAAACTCGCAAAAAATGAAAACTTTGGACCTGTGGTGCTAGTCCAAACCTTTTTGGACCAAAGTGAAAATTTTGAGCAAACCACAGGGGGTATTTGTGCATTTTAGTCAAAAATATAAGACATGTGCACCTGAAAATGAAGCAGACTGAATCAGCTTTGACCTGAACGTCTAAATGTTTTTATAAAATTTCAAAATTTGATTCAAATACATTCTATAATCTATAGGGTTTTGAATAATGAAATTCATACTCTTATCAATTCAATCAACAAATATCCGACCTGCTAAATAGATAATTGTACTTGATAACAATATACGTAAAATCCATACAATATACGTAAAATCCATCCTATTGTTTGTTCATTGTACTTGATTCAATTAAAACCAAATCATAGTAAATGTTTTCTTGGTTGATATCATATATTGACCAACATCTTTTTTCTATTGCTTCCAGTTAAATGATTTTTAATTGGTCATTGCAAGATTTAGACCTTTCAACAAGTTGCTTACGACAATGCATGCATTTTGCACTTTCATTCTCATTATGATTTTTCTATAAACTTTTTCCATATCATATATCAACTTTCTTCTCTTGGTAGAAATCTCGAATCTGTCTTCGATATTCTCTTAGAGCATCCACCTCTACAATATTTTTAGTATCATATTCTCACATATCTTTTTCATCTATCTTCTATTAAAATTGATAATATACGATAATAAACTTTTAATTAAACAAGCCACAAAACAGAAAATTTTAATGAATTAAAACCGAATCAGGTTTAATATTTATAAGAATAGCCATGAACATGGATGTATAACCGGCCCGAATCGGACTGGGACTGAAAAAAAACGAGAATAGATCGAATCTGAAATGAAGAATTGAGAACTAGACTAAACGTAACATAGTCTTTTTGGGTTCACTAAGTCATTTTCAATCCCATTAATATTCGATTAGGTGTCTAAGCCAATAAATAAATTTGTATATTTGAACTATTAACAAAGTCTTTTTGGGTTGCCTTGAAACCTAGTAATTGAATATGTTGACTTTTAGATAGAGAGACTGGTTTATTGATTTATTTGATGATTAATAAATAGCAATAAATGATTTATTGATATATTATGAAAATAATATATTAATTAGAAATAGATTGTGTAATTATAAATTAATTGGAATTAATTTTGAGATTAACTGAAATAATGAAAAGTAAAAAGACTAAAGGTGATAATGTTCAAAAGTTGAACATAATTCTAGAACCTTCCTAAGTTACGAACGTTTTATAGGGTTTCCTTGGGCATTAAGGGTTCCTTGGATACCTTATGGATGAAAAAAATGGATAAATGTTTATCTTAGGAAACTACTGTAACAACCCGATATATTCAAGTCAATATAATGATCTAAAGTCAAGTATTGTAACCTATTGTTTTTGAGATAATAAGAATAGAGTCAAAAATGAAATGTTCAAAAATCTCAATTGGAATGTACTAAGTGATAGAGATCGTAACAAGGGTTTCAAAAACATAAAGAATACTAAAATCCGTGTTATGAAGAAGAAGTTATGACCAATCAAATATCTGCAACAAAACTTGTAAAACACTCTTAATCATAAAACGTGAAATTTCAATAAATACTTTTTAGCCTTTGGTATCAAAATGAAAATCGTAGATATCATTAAACCGTAAATGTACATAAAAAGAACGTCCAACTCTGACTTCGTATGAGGAAGTTGTGATTTTTCTAAGTTTTGGATATAGCAGTAGACAACTAAAAACTCGAAATAGAGATCGAGCGACTTTTAGCCCACGCAACCTAAATGAGAATTGAAGATATCGACAATAGTAGTAGAACAGTAAAAAGACAGACGAA